CCGCCCCCTGCACCGCCCTGCACAGCCCTCTCCCCCGCGACCCTCACCCCACCTGGGGGCCCAGGGCATGACCTCGCCTGGCTTTCCTCCTGCAGGAGTGGGTGCCATGACCTGGTCCCCTCTGGCCTGCGGCATCGTTTCTGGAAAGTATGACAGCGGCATCCCGCCCTACTCCAGAGCCTCCTTGAAGGTCAGCAGGGGTCGGGACGGGGAGGGGAGGGCCAGGGATGGGCATTTAGTAGAGGTGAGGCCTCGGGCCGACAGCCTCGGTGCTGGGCACCCTTCCCTGGGCCCCTGCCCGCAGGTGGTTCGGGCCGTGGGAACTTGGGGCCCTGGCTGGCCCACCCCATGGGCATGCCCAGGTGAAGAGGTGCCTTCACTCCCCTGCACCCCCTCAACACCCTCCTTGGTTCCACATTCACAACCTGGGCTGGGTCCACATGTGCCTTTGGGATGCTCCTGCCCCGCCCCCCATGCGCACGCATGCACACACCTGATCTGGGCTGAGCTCAGAGCCGGCTGCACAGCTTCTTCAGTTGTCACTCAGAGGTGAGTCCCACACGCTCACCTCCAGACAGGGGACTCCAGGAGGGTGTCCAGCGTGCAGAGAAAGGCCTGCCCAGGCCAGGCCCAGCCCCGGAGCCCCAAGCCCCAGGTTCAAAGGCAGATGGCCTGCCCTACTCACTCCTCCCCAACCCACTGCAAGGCACTGCGCCCCTGGGAGTGGGGGCAGGGAGACTGCACCCCTCAGTGCCAGACCAAAGACTGCAGCACCTCCCGGATGCCGGCCTCCTGGGAGAAGGGAGGTCAGCGGGTCCCCTCCTGTCCTGGGTCACGGGCCCTCCTCAGCCCCCCAGAGACAACGGGCTTCTGAGTGCAGTGGTCCCACGCTTCCAAAGGCCAGGAGGGGCCCTAACCTGGCTTCAGTCCTCAGCCCTCTGCACACACAGGTCCAGGTGACCTGCCCTCACCTGTGGTCTGTTCTTCCCCTCCCCCAACCAGGGCTACCAGTGGCTGAAGGACAAGATTCTGAGTGAGGAGGGCCGGCGCCAGCAGGCCAAGCTGAAGGAGCTGCAGGCCATCGCCGAGCGCCTGGGCTGCACCCTCCCTCAGCTGGCCATAGGTAACAGCGGGGGGCAGGTGTGGCCATAGGTAACAGCCTGGGGGAGGTGTGGCCATAGGTAACACCGGGGGGCAGGTGTGGCCGTAGGTAACAGCTGGGGCAGGTGTGGCCATAGGTAAGAGTTGGGAGAGGTGTGCCATAGGTAACAGCTGGGGGAGGTGTGGCCATAGGTAACACCGGGGGGCAGGTGTGGCCGTAGGTAACAGCTGGGGCAGGTGTGGCCATAGGTAAGAGTTGGGAGAGGTGTGCCATAGGTAACAGCTGGGGGAGGTGTGGCCATAGGTAACACCGGGGGGCAGGTGTGGCCGTAGGTAACAGCTGGGGCAGGTGTGGCCATAGGTAAGAGTTGGGAGAGGTGTGCCATAGGTAACAGTTGGGGACAGGTGTGGCCATAGGTAACAGCTGGGGGAGGTGTGCCATAGGTAACAGCTGGGGGAGGTGTGGCCATAGGTAACAGTTGGGGGAAGGTGTGGCCATAGGTAACAGCTGGGGGAGGCGTGGCCATAGGTAACAGCCTGGGGGAGGGGTGGCCATAGGTAACAGCGGGGGGAGGCGTGGCCACAGGTAACAGCTGGGGGAGGCGTGGCCATAGGTAACAGCCTGGGGGAGGGGTGGCCATAGGTAACAGCGGGGGGAGGCGTGGCCACAGGTAACAGCTGGGGGAGGCGTGGCCATAGGTAACAGCCTGGGGGAGGGGTGGCCATAGGTAACAGCGGGGGGAGGCGTGGCCACAGGTAACAGCTGGGGGAGGCGTGGCCATAGGTAACAGCCTGGGGGAGGGGTGGCCATAGGTAACAGCGTGGGCAGGGGTGGCCATAGGTAACAGCGTGGGCAGGTGTGGCCATAGGTAACAGCGGGGGCAGGTGTGGCCATAGGTAACAGTTGGAGGAAGGTGTGGCCATAGGTAACAGCTGGGGCAGGCGTGGCCATAGGTAACAGCTGGGGGAGGCATGGCCATAGGTAACAGCTGGGGGGAGGCGTGGCCATAGGTAACAACTGGGGGAGGCGTGGCCACAGGTAACAGCTGGGGGAGGGGTGGCCATAGGTAACAACTGGGGGAGGCGTGGCCACAGGTAACAGCTGGGGGAGGGGTGGCCATAGGTAACAGCTGGGGGAGGCGTGGCCATAGGTAACAGGCTGGGGTTGGGGGCCAATTGGAAGGTGTCAGGAGTCCCTTACGCCTGGGCCAGCCCTTTAGGAACCAGCCATGGGTAATGGGGGCCCCACATCGTGGGGAGAAGGTGGGTCCCTGAGCACTGGGCCACCTCTCTGCCTGGGGCAGCCTGTGCCAGGGCTCCCCCAGCGCCACCAGCACTGCCGAGCGCTGGACTGGCTAGGTCCCTCCAAGCCCGCAGACTCAGCGGCTGGTGCCTCCTGCCCAGGGAGGGGAGGGGAGGGCAGAGCCGGAAAGGGCACCTCCGTGGGTGCCCCTCACCTCTGTCTCTGCCCCCAGCCTGGTGCCTGAGGAATGAGGGCGTCAGCTCCGTGCTCCTGGGCGCGTCCAGTGCGGACCAGCTGATGGAGAACATTGGAGCCATACAGGTGAGCGGGGCCCCATCGGCCATCTGCCCAGCAGGTATTCGTGGAGCTCCTACTGCGTGCCAGGCACTGTGCCAGGCACGTGGGCTCCGTCAGCGAACCTCCGAAGAGCCCTGCTCTGGAGGAGCCGGTGTTCTGGCCGGAGAGACAGCAAGCACTGAAGTGGAGAAGTAGGGGGGTGAGAGTGGGTGTCAGATGAGCGCTATGAGGGGGAATAAGCTAGTGTGAGGGCGGGCGTCCGGGCGAGGCAGAGCCGTGGGCCCAGGGTGAAGGGGCTGTCAGCGTGGCCTCGGGGAGACAGTGACCTGTGAGCAGAGGCCCGCAGGTGAGGCGTGGGCCATGCAAATACTCAGGAAAGAAGGCCAGGCAGCAGGACAGCTGCTGGTGGCCAGGGCTGGTGAGGGCCCAGGAGCAGGGCAGGAATGGGGGGCGGAGGCAGGAGTGAGGGGTGATTAAGCTGCCGTGGGAGCCCTGTGGTCCCAGGAGAGTAGAGGCACGGTCTGACTTTGGTCTTAAAAGTGACCCCCTCTCTCTCTCTGGCTGCTGAGTGCAGGGAAGACTGGGGAGCAAAGAGATGTGCTGGGAGGTGACAACGGGGGTCGGGTGACAGTGGTGGAGGAGATGGGGGAGCCGGGTGCACCTGGATGTTTGGAAGGTGGGCCGGCAGAACTGGCCCACAAACCGGATGAGAGGGGGAGCGATTCAGAGACGCCCCTGGGTTTGGCACAGGGAAGGGTGAGGTGGGGAAGGCTGGGAAGGCGGTTTGGGGTGTGGCGATCAGGGGTCTGGCCCCAGAGGCCGCACTGTATGCCTCACAGAAGGTTCTGGAGGACGCTGGCCGTTGAGGGGCAATGTATGCCCCAGGGCAGACTTCCTCTCTGCCCTGAACCTTCTGGAATAGACAGCAGTGTGGCCCATCTGCCTCCGCTGGAGCTGGACGCCCTGAGGGCCCCGTGGCCGCCTCCCCCAACAGGCACGTGGCGGGATCCCGACCTGCTCTTGTCCTGGCCCACAGGTCCTCCCCAAGCTGTCGTCCTCCATCGTCCACGAGATCGACAGCATCTTGGGCAACAAGCCCTACAGCAAGAAGGACTACCGGTCCTAGGGGCCCGCTGGCCGGACACTCCCTCCCCGCCCAGTCTGTTTGCTGCCCCTCGCTTCCGCTTTTTTGAAGCCAAGTCACGAATGTGGTTCGCATCACAAAGAAAACCCTCCAAGATGTCCCGGGGAACAAAGAAGCCGCTGCGACACACCACCCACTGCTCCGGGACCCTCGTCCTGCCGGGACGGCCCGGTCAGGTGTCCCCCCACAGGCTGCACCTTCACGCCAGG